GTGCAGATGTCCATGTTCTGGCTCCTGGAGATAAGCACAGCACAGTGCAGGTGCAGGAATGAGGCTGAGAATTGAGCATGGACTGTTGGGTTGAGACCACCAAAGACCCTCAAAGCCCTCCAGCCTTATTCCTATAAGGTCCAGAAGAATGAACAGCACATGATAACTGGCATAGAAAAGGGGAAATTTATCTATGAAAGGTATCAATATATTTATCTATGAAAATATATTTGTCTATAAAATGTTTCCAGGATCAGTGCTGGAGGCAGGAGCACTGATAATCTCCCTTTCTTATCTCTCACCTCCCTTTCATCCTACTCTTTTATCCAAACCCCACTGCTGTGTGCTTACACTGAAAAATCAGGAGCTAACGTCTTAATTTCCCTGTTAAGTGTGTAAACTAACAGGGAGTTAGTTTAAACTAGTAAAACTTCGTAAGGTTTTGTGTGGATCTTCTGACCTTTGTCATACGTTTCAGTGTCGAGCATCCAGTAATCTTGGGTGCTCCTTCCTCTTAAGGGTGGGAGTGTGCAGGAGCACAGTGCTTGGGCTTGTCCATGTGTTTCATTAAAAGCTGCTTCATCTTTTCAGAATGGTGAAGGTCTTTGTGAGGTTTTCACTGTACTTGCAGGTGTTTTCTGTAGCCCAGGACCAGTCAGTGCACACAGGTTATGAGTTCACTGTCAGTATCTGAGGCTCCTGACTGTTGCTGTACTGTGCATTATTCATATATTTATTAAGTTTCTGTCACATGTAAAGATATTGTTTTGTTCTACTTTGTTTTTTCTTGCAGAATGACACAGTGACTATCCGAACCAGGAAGTTCATGACCAACAGGCTGCTGCAGCGCAAGCAGATGGTAAAAGAACCCAGAAAATTGCCTTTAACTATTTGTTGGATTTGGGTTGCAAAGGGATTTTGGCCACTATAAGTACAAGGCTCTTAAAATCTCCAGAGTTACTATAAGAGCTTATGGGTTTCAACATGTTGATGTATACTGATGGTGAAGTAGCAAACTCTTTTGTCACTTGAAGTTGCACCAGGGGAGGTTTAGATTGGATATTGGGCAAAATTTGTACACCAGAAGAATTATTAAGCATTGGAATAGACTGACCAGGGAAGCAGTAAAGTCTTCATCCCTGGAGTTATTTAAAAGACATGTAGATGTGGTACTTGAGGATATGTGTTAGTGCCATTGAGAGACTTGACAGTGCTGGATTTACTGTTGGATTCCATGATGTTAAAGGTATTTTCCAGTCCAAATAACTGTGAGGCAGGAATGTTTTTGTATCAAATGAATACTACTTTCTACTTCTAAGGTGGCTTAAAGTGTTAAGCTCATGGTGGGACTGTAGCACCTCTTTGTTATACTGGATATTGACCTTTTATACAACTTGTAAAAATTCTTTCTTAGGTGATTGATGTTCTTCATCCTGGGAAGGCCACAGTCCCCAAAACAGAAATCAGGGAAAAGCTGGCAAAAATGTACAAGACAACCCCTGATGTAATTTTCGTCTTTGGCTTCAGAACTCACTTTGGTGGTGGCAAGACAACTGGTTTTGGGATGATCTATGATTCCTTGGACTATGCAAAGAAAAATGAACCAAAGCACAGACTTGCCAGGGTATGTTTTCTGGTATCCTGAAAGCAGTTAGGATAGATTTAAGCATTTAGCTGTTCATGATTTACATGTGTAAAAACCCAACTTTTGTGAAACTACTGTTGCTGTACTCAGTTATATGAGAGATCTTAAAATAGCACAGGTTAGCTTCTGCATTTGCAAGATAGGCTAAGGTTTTTTTACTTTATTATTCTGAAGGCAAAACTGATGTTACCAGATGTGTTTAGCAGTAATAGATAACAAACCACTATTAAAGGTCTGGAAGTAGCATAAGAGATGGGGCTGCTTGGTATGCTACTTCAGAGCTTGTGTTCTATATTGAATCATTCATTAGTTAATGAACTTGCTATTATTTCAAATTTAAACTGTAATTGAAGACTCAGAAATAATACCATTTAAATTTAGAGTTATTAGCAGTGAAACAATGGTAAATGCAGCTTTAACTGCTTTTTAACAGCATGGCCTGTATGAAAAGAAGAAGACTTCCAGGAAGCAGAGAAAGGAGCGTAAGAACAGAATGAAGAAAGTCAGGGGCACAGCCAAGGCAAATGTTGGTGCTGGCAAGAAGGTAGGATGAGAATATCTTTAAGTTAGACTGAGCCTTTGAAATGTTGATTAGAAATTGTTACACAGAATAACATTGTTTTTCTTCCATTTTTTCACCTGTTCTACTGGATAACAGAAGGTAATCTGTGTGTTGTATAGCTTGTCTTCAGCCCAGTAGCTTAGTTTTGCTCCTCCTCACTGCTGCAAGCTTAGCTGATATAACCTGAAACAATGCTGCTTAAATTAGTTTCCTACGTGTCACTTGAACTAAAATTACACTTTTGTAAATCTTAACAGTATTGCTCTAATCACATAACTCAGTCTTGCTATATACACATTAGGCAATCTTAACACTTGTTACTCAGACTGCCTAAACACTTAATGCTTCCTCCACCAAGTTACTGTTATTTGTGGTGTCACTTACAGAGGTGAGTTTGCTAAGGATATGCTGTGTTCTAGTCAGTGAGGACAGTGTGTAAATAGAAATAAGGTAGAATGCCTGTTTTATTCTGGGTATGACTGATTCCCAAGGTAGTGGAGTCTTCTTCTGGTGGGAGATTCCTGGGCTGTGGCTGGAACCTGATACAAGCAGCTTAAAGGGAGGCAGAGCTCCTCTATCAGGAAACAAAACCAAAACTGAGGAATAGACTGGGTGGGAGGACAGTCATCTTTCTTAGCAATATTTAGTCCTCTGATATATGCCTAGTAAGTTGTGCAGCCAAGTATTTATTTTACCAAGGGGAAAAAGGGTAATGGGTTTTGATGCTTAGTTCTGTAGCTGTGAAAATGCCTTGACATCTTGAACTTTAGTAATCTTCACTTTTGCTTTTTTTTCTACTTTCTTGGAATTCTCCATCAGAAATGAAGTATCTAGCAGGTACCGGAAGTGAGCATGGATGTGGTGACTGAAACATCACTGAAACACGTGTACATCATTTTAATTGAAGCACTGTACTGCCTTGCATGCATGCTTGATTTAAACTTCGATCTGTCCTGTGAGATAATTACATAATGAACTTTGTTCCATGTGACTTTTAAATTTGGCTAGTGGCAAACAAGACTTTCTGAAACTAGTGAATCACCTTTAAAATAAGGGATTCCCAGTGAGAAGAAATCTGAGAAACTCAATGCTGTTGATTTCAGGCATTGGCTCAGAACACTTCAGGACCTGATTCAAAGCAGTACAGTGCAATTGCATGTGTAACATGACCGTTGTGTGAAAGTAGTTGTGTACATGAAAGCTCAGTCACATCACACCTTAGTGCATTTGAGATGGTGTTTGCAAATGGCACGGTTGTCAGCATGAAACTGTATTTAACTATTGCCCTGCAGTGTCCTAAGTTAAGACACGAATTACAGTGAAATTGGAAATGTCAGTGAAATTGGATTCTTTAATTAGTGTGGAAGTGAAATTTTTGTTACTACTGGGTGGAAATGAATCAGTGTTGCTGACAACTACTAGATGAGGGAACTGCTCTACTACATAAGATTTAGCCTTCTTCCTTTCTGCTTTACTACTGTTTTCATCATGAAGTTCTACAATTGTTTATGGCACAAAATTACCATTTGGTATGCTAGTAACACTTAATATAGACCCTCTTGACAATGGCAAGGGAGTCATGTAGTGTTGCACTGGTACCAGTATATGGATGAACGTCTTCCTTTTTGTACCTGAAGGTACCTGTTGTTGAATGTTAATGCAAAATGCTTGAATGATTGTCACTTGAATTACTAAAGCTGTCCAGTTCATAGAAAATCTCTTAAGGCATAGTGACACTTTAGAAATGTATTGCCAAGATCATGTCCTGTAGGAGATGTGACTTCTCTGTCAAGTGTTTCTCAAATTAGCACACAATCCTAGTGCTAGAACCATGTTTTTGATTAAAACTTTTTGATGTCTTTTAAAAGGATCTTTCGGTTGGTAAGTGTGCATGAGTTAGATGTTACTTATTTACCAGCTCTGTTAATCATTGTGTCCTCACCTGAACTAAAGATAAATTATTTTGTGTGCTTTCTGGAAAACTTGTTTGAGAAGAGTTTTGTGCTGCATTACAGGAAAATGCTTGTGAAATACACTTATGTCTTTAGGCTTTGCTTGAAAAACTCATGTTTAAAGATAATGTTGCATGGTTCATCGTTCTTTATCACGGCTATGTGAAGGAATATTTTTAATAAGAGTCCTGGAATATATTTTGGAGTCCACCTATACAATCTGAAAACTATCTATCTAAGAAATGTGTAGGCACTTGATTCTGAGACATTTTCAGGCAAGTGTATCATTCTAAGAGTTTGGTACCATGTAGTCATGAAAGCTATAGAAGTGACAGATCATACTTGAATAATTTTCCTTGAACTTTCAGTCAGACATAAGTGTGCTGTTGTCTCACTAAGTCTTCTTTGGTGCTTCCTTTCACATCTCACTCCTTTAGAATTCCCATTCTGTTTTCCCTGCAGTTTCAAGAGAAGTATTTTAAACTTAATATGTTCTGTAGCTCTAGAGTTTGCTGAGCTCACTAATAATTTGCAGCAAATATATGTGGATGTCCCTTAGCTAGTCTTTGCATTCAGAGCAGTGACCCATACACCACCCTCCCTTTTAATGTCACAGCTGTAGCTGTGACAGCCTTTACATGTGAAGCATTTTTAAGAAAACTCTCAAACAGAAGTGTGGATGGATAGACACTTTCAGCCATTGTAGCCTGTAGGTATAATTGAACAAGCAGCTGCATTCTGAGTATTTAAGCTCTAAACAGCTGTTGTTAGGTCCCATTTTGAGTTTGAGGAAATGTGTAAAATCTAAGTCTTCAGTCTCTACAGTAGTCAAAACTTTGAGGTTTTCTTAACACATTTCAGTGTGCTTCTTGAAAAACGTATATATTGTCAATTAAAAACTTCAAAACTCCATCTTCTACAGTAGTAGAACTTAGATAAAGTAGTTATTAATTAATGCTTTCTTTTTTTTTCAGTAAATGAACATTCTTCAGATGGAAAATAGACAACAGGTATGACTTCAGAATGCTTTGTAAGGGCAGACATTCAGTACTCACAGCCATTACTATAACATGGGTCTAATGTTGATTTACGCAAACACCATGGTACTTGTGCAGGCATAGAACCTAGTTCAATAGTTTGAGTATTTACAAATCAATTTTGCACCTAGAACCAAGTTCATAATTTGTGTAACCTCAACTTAAATGAAGTACCTGATTAGTATAAAGATTGAAAAAATAAATCAGGCAGTTCAGATTTGCTGCTGCTAAAGCTGCTGATTATTTAGTCTTTACTGTAAACAAGGCTTATATTTTTCTTATGTAGATGTGCTAAAGAGGATAGTAGATCTTGGTTTTTATTGTCTTAAACAGAAGTAGTATGATTTCTGGTTTGGGGATAGGTTTCTGTTGTTTTCTTATAGACACTTATTTCAAGTAAATCACTTTTATAGACAAACCTGATACTTTTGTAGACAAGTCCTAGACTGTTTGCAGCCCTAGATCTGTTGCAGAAACCTACATGCAGTGGGCAGTAACTGTTGCAGAAAAATCTCAGGTTAAATCTGATCGACTCAGACTTAAGCAACTTAAACTGTCTGGGAGCTGATAACTTCTGTCTTAAACAGAAAGCTGTCAAAGCAGTTGTAGCTTGTTGTTCTGTAGTCTGGGCTCTCATTATTCCCATGAAAGTCTGAGCCTCATACTCTTGCAAGAAGAGAAGTGTGGTTCACCTGGCTGGTTTGGGAACTAGTTTTTCAGGTGTTATAAAGGTATGAGTGTAATAATTGATTTTAATTGTGTGGCAGTGATCTGTTTTTTCCTTTACAGACTTCTTAATTCTATGAAGAAGTGTAGAAGGAGTTATTCTGGAAAGCAGAAGCTGCTGATCTGACTTTAACATCAAATAAACTATGTCATCATATTAAAATCTTTTCATAATTAAACTCTTGTTTTGAGTATCAATTCGAAGTGAATCAAAGCTTTCTACAGGTAGTAGTATAACCTCATTCCAAGCAGGCAGTGGTAGTTCATAGAGATGGACATTCTGGTGCAGATGTTCTGAGAAGCAAACAAAAGTTTTATACTTTAAATAGGACTGAAACAGGCTGAGCATCTCTAGCAGCTGTGATGATTAAAGCTCTTGACTTTTATTATCTAAGTACTGTATTTCTGAATTGTACTGCCATTGTACTGAGGCAGCACCTTGTAATGCAGGTAAGGCATTTTTAGTGTTTGGGGGAGAAAACCAACACTACCATAGTTAGAGTTGTTAAAGTGGTTGAAAGGGAATACTCTTATCCTAGTAACTTGTACAAGATCTGCCAAGTGTAGATGGAACACTTAATACCTCTTCAGAGTCTTGAATTGGTGGGGTTGCTGTTGTCTGCATTCAGCAGTTTTCACACTGTTAGCTGTACACAAAATTTTGTGTACCTCATGCTATAATTGTTTTGCCTTCAATGGTATTAGTAACTGGAAGTAATAGCCAATTTGCTCTGGTGAAAGG